CCACTCTCAATAAAAAACCCTCCTTCCAACATCAGAGAGGCCTTTCCTGAGCACCCACATCAATTAGCTCACTCCACACTCACTCTACCCCTACCCAACTCAGGTTTTCTTCATACACACACAAGAATTTTGACCCATACGAATAGGGTTCACTGTTGTATCTCCAGCCCCTGGGACATGTCTGATATGCAAGAGAGAGTTACTAAGTGTTTATTGAGTGATAATTAAATCACTGCCTCCAGTCTGAGAAGTGCACACACTCACAGCCCTGCACACACTCTTGGCAGTCTCTCCTCTGACCTCTCTGATTAGGGCACGTTTTCTTCTCCTCCTTACCCCTACCTCTGCCTGGTGGCTCCCACTCACCCTTCTAGTCCTGCCTGCCCCAGCATCCCCTGCTTTCTGAGTCTGCCTCCACCTCCCCGGGCTGACATGGTGCCCTTTGGTTGATTCTACTTGGCAGTGCCTTCTGAGCTCCACTACAGCACACACGCCTCATTGAGAGTTCTGCCCACCTACATGTCCCTCACACATCTGTGTGTGCTTGTCAAGGGCCCCAAGTTCAGAATTACTGAGGGTTCAGCCTCTTGGGTCAGTGACTGCTGGCCATGAGTACTTGCTCTGCCTCCAACTAGCTGTGTGACTTTAGACTAATTACTTAAACTTTCTGTTCCTGGGCTTCCTCATCTGTGCAATAGATGTGTCAAGATAATCAGTGATGAATTGGTTAAGTGTTTAATATTTGAGGCAGTCAGGGAAGAGGATAAGGGGGAGCCATGTAGCTTTCTGGGAATGAGCACCCCAAGTCTGAACTGTATCTCTGTAAGCCTTGTCCCCGGTGAGACTCAGGCTGTACTGTGATCTGGGACATTATTCAGTCAATATTCTAATGTGACACTGGGCATCCAGATAAGCCCTGCAGTAATTGTTCTTTGAATTCAGCCTCAGGAGGACGAGCTGAGACTGAACCAAGGCCAGGGAGGGACGCAAGGTGCCTGAGGGAGGACATCACTGTACCCCACAGGTCAGAGCCATGATGCCCCCTGCAGATCTTGGGCTTCTGTCACATAGCAGAGCCCTGTGTGAGTTGAGTCCAGACTCACCAACAGCTGGGGCTCAGATAGGAGGGTTCAGACTGAGCTCAAAGGTCCTGGCTTCACCAGGTATGGTGGTGCACACCTGTAATCCCAGCACTCAAGAGGTGGAGGCAGGAGGAGCATGAGTTCCAGGGGCCAACCTGGGCTCATAGTGAGATCCTTTCTCAAAAAAAAAAAAAAGCAAATGCAAAAACAAAAAGATCTTGAGTATTGTCTGTCTCTGTCATTTGATAAGAAGGGGCTCTGGGCTGTGGAGAGTGGCTCAGGCAGATGGTGTATGTGAGGGGCAGCAGAAATCTGGACCCATGGTGGCATGAACAAGAGACTTCAGCTCAGGATCTCAGCTTCCTTTTCTGTGCATGCCTGGAACTGCCCCGGCTTGCTTATTTTCAAACACAATTCTTTAGGCAAGACAGTATCAGAAGTATAAGAAGGACGAAGGGAGTGAGGCCCAGACAGCATGGCCTCCCATGGTGTCCCCAGCTCACAGACGATAGTGATGGTGATGATGGCCCACGGGCAGGCGCTGAGGTCCTTCTACACCTAGTGTTCCCTGATTCAGTATCACTCTGTACAGCACGTTGTCTTTTCAAAGCATCAGGCTGAAACCACATGGAATTAACTAATATTTGACCGCTTCTTACTTTCAAAAATGGCACTTTAGTATTTCTGCTGAATAGGTTCATGTGTGGTTGTGGCCAAACATGCTCACTCAGAAGCCAGGTCACCAGGGTTCAGAGCCCAACTCTTCATCCTGTCCTCTGTGTGACACTGGGCAGGACACCCCACTTGCCTTGTGAGACTGGTTCCTGGGACGGCCCTGTGGGGGCTGGGAACACGGTAAGGGACACACAGTGCCGAAAGGCTCCCTTCCTCAGGATTCCGCAGATAAAGCCCAGCGACAAGGGAACCGTTCTCCTGCCTGGCCTGAGGAGGCCAGCAGTTCCAGTGTGGTTTTCCCACCATCCATCCAGTCCATCTTTCTGCCCAACTACCCTGTTTCTTCTTGTGGCAGGCAAGCCTTCACCTGGGTACAGGAATGATGCTGGAAAACCATGAGTGACATTCGGGCAGAGCACCAGAGGCTGTGTCCCCAGACACCTGCACGAGCCCTTCCGTTACAGGACCCATCATGGAATATGTCAGCCTGTATTAGCAGCCAGGCCCATCACATTAAGCTGCAGCTCAGAACTGGCAGTCCCCACTTTGTAATGCCACTTGATCCGCTGTCACGCTCCCTTACATGGCGCCACAACCATGGGAGCACTTGCAGACACCTGCAGCAAGGAAAGAGGCTCAGGGAAGAGTTTAGGAGGGGGCCAGGAAGATTTGCAATATTCTGCTTCTGCTGGGACCCCGGGGAGCCCACTTGGGTCTCTGGTGTCCCCGGGGGGGGCAGAGTGAGCAAGTTTTCAAAAGCTCCAGGTGGAAAGTTGCTTTGTAGCAAACTATAAAAAGTATGGCACAGCCGAGGTGTGATGGTTCACACCTGTAATCCCAGCTATCCAGGAGATGAGATCCAGAGGATGGTAGTTAGAGACCAACCTGAGGAAAAAAAAAAATTAGCAAGACTCCATCTCCACCAACAAGCTGGGCATGGTGGTTCGTGTCTGTAACTCCAGCTGTATAGGAGGCATAGGTAAAAGTAGCTCAGTCTGAGGCCAGCCCCAGAAAAAACATGAGATTCTATCTGAAAAAATAACTAAAGAAAAAAGGGTTGAGTATGGCTTAAGTGGTAGAGCACCCGCCTGGCAAGTGTGAAGCCCTGAGTTCAAATCCTAGTAGCTCCCAAAAAATGCATGGCACATGTTTCTGAAAGCATGCAGAATTGCTGTCCTGTTCACGTATACTATGAAAACTTGTGACACATATGGAAGGTCCTTATCCACAGTACACCTGTGACTGCCATTGTCATTATTCCATTACTAGTGCTGTTTCGTGCATAAATCCCCCAGGCACTTGGCTGGTGTCACCTACAGCACACGTGTCACTTCCTCCTGTTGATGTTGGAGCTGTGGAGAGAACACGAACTTTGCAGTCGGGTAGATTCTGACATCAAGTCCTGCCTGTGTCTCTATAGATGGGGACTTCGCCACTCTGTGCCTGAGTTTTTGCTCTGTCACAGTACTCTGTCTCATGGAGTTTTTGAAAGAATTGTGTCTAAATATTGCCTGGCACAGCACAGATGCCCAATAAATTGGCACTCCATTTGGGGTTTTAGTATGAGATGGTGCAATTGCTGTCTGCCTCCCCTGCTAGGGTCAGCTGTGTTTGGCAGGACCTGCAGGTGGTGGTCAACAGTTGAGCCCCTGGATGTTGCTGGAAGAGCGAATAGAGGGGACAGATCACCCCAACAGAGCCCCGCAAACACCCTTGAGGTAATGAGGCACAGCGAGTTTGGTTGCTGTTTCTCAGGAGCAGTTCACAAGTGTCACCCAGCCTATTTGTCAGTGGTGACCCATGTTCATTGCCCAGGTCTCCCTGCTCCTAGTATCCCAGGTGCATGCTGCCCATAGCTGGCCTGTAGGAATGGAAGCTTCCCTCCCTGGGCCCTCACCTTTCCTGGTGTCCAGTGAAGCCCCAATGTCCAGTGAAGCCCCAACTCATCCCACATCCACGTGGCAGGCCATCACTGGCTCCCAGGGTACCCAGCATCACAGCCATCTAGAACCCCAGGTTTGCTTTAATCATTCGTGTGATTTAAAAACATCCTCCATGGGAGCTGCACTCCAAGACTGAGCTGGGAGAACTCCATTTTCTGCACTGTTGTAAGGTTGAGGTGACTGCACCTGATTCAACACAGCCTCTGTCTTCAGTGGCTCCTCACCACCTGGCTTGAAGGGAGCACAGAAACTGAAGTCCCAATCCACCCCCCAGTATCAATCAAGTTAATCAAGGCTTGATTACAGGAGAGGATTTCCTTGGGGCAGGGTCCCTTTTTGGTCTGCCTTCCTTGTTTTTATTGAGGACCACACCTGTGTCCTATGGTTTCATTCGGTTGGGTTTTTTAAAGTCTGTACTCTCGCAGGCATTCATGTTGTCTCTTGCTTTCTGTAGAGCCAGTTCATCCAGAATTCACACAGAATCAGAAGTGATGTGTCTCTTTGTTCATATTTTCCAGAGAGCGGGGAGGCAGAGGATAGGGGGGAGAGAGAGAGAGAGGTGCATGTCTAAGAAATTATTACTGCCTGATTCTCTGGCCTGCCAAGAAGAAAACACTTGCTGGCATTTACTCTTAGAAAGGTCATTTGATAAACACTTACTGGGCACCTTTCATACATCGTTGGGTGACCATATCATCTGTTATCCCAACCGGGACAGTTTTGAATGGGAAAGTGACCTCTCCCTGGTCAGTGCTCCAAGACAGCAGAAATAAAGATTTTCTCAGGTCAACCAGGACATAATGGACGTGCTACACATTAACAGTTGAGTCAGGGCCACTGGACTGTCAAGTGATAAATTTTCCCAAAGTGCCTTTAAAGATTAAGGACAAAACCAGGAGGTGAAAAGATGTGAAGGATACATTGAGATTAAAGTTGAACAAGATGTTTCTAAAATTTTCCCACAACTTCCTTTTAAAAAAAACAGAGTTTTCCTGTTTTTTAAAAAAAAGCAACAGGAACAATGGCTCTGGAAAGTACTGTCCTCACACTGGCATCTAAGTTCCCCAGAGATGAGGCCACCTCGAGGGGCCCAGGGTAAAGGTTAGAATTTATAAGAAAATGGAATTTCCCACCAAGGCCAGGATGGGTGCTGCTACAAGGACCAAAAGGAGCAGCAACAGTGTGTGGTTTCTAATTAATGCATCTGTAATGTGGTTGTGGTAATAAAGACAAACACACACACACTCCTTTCCTAGGGAAGAGATTTGGTTCTAAAGCGATTTGTTCTCTTGCATCCTAGGTGCCTGTCCTAAGACCCATGGACCTGATGGTGGAGGCCACCCCACGAAGAGTGTTCGCCAACGCACACACATACCACATCAACTCCATATCCGTCAACAGCGACTATGAAACCTACATGTCTGCTGATGACCTGAGGATTAACCTATGGAACTTTGAAATAACCAATCAGAGTTTTAGTATCCTTTCCTTACAGCCAATAATCAATTGGCCTGAATCAAGCGTATCCAGGTAGGAGTGGACTTGGGGGCGAGGGGATGGGGAGTGGAATAGAAAGGAATAATCACAACCACAACACCTGGCACTTTGGAGCAGTTGTCCCTTTTAAAATGTGTTGGCATCAGTGAGACTATTTCATCCTGACAATAAAGTTGGAAAGGCATTGAATGGCAAGTTGTGAGCCAGGACTAGCTTTGCATTGGAACTCTGAATCAATTCAGATTCAGGCCTTTTATTGAGTTCAAAGCACTTGCAAGAGGAACTCTTAAGTGAAGTATCTCTTTTTTATGGCTCTATTAGAGTGTCAAACACACACTGAAAAATGCATACCATGATTACGTAGTTCAGTGAAATTTCACAGATTGAACACGTAAAAACCTTTCCCAGCAGTGTTCAAGCCCTCTTCGTTCTCCTTACTGCTTCCACCTCTCAAGGGCATATTTGATATAGTGACCCTATTATATAAACATTATTGTCTCCCATTTACCTAAAATTTAGCAAAGTCAAGAAAATTCCTGCATGAGTGTCTAGAACAATATTCTCACCCCACTGTGTTGATTCTGTCATTAATGATAAAAATGGGTCATTTATTCAATGCCTGTCATGTGCGTCATCCTTCCTGAAACCTGGCCCTCCACTCTGATTCCTGAGTTGGTTCATGGGTTCACCCTTCAGGCAGGTGAGCAACTGTCCTACACATCAATATTAATTCCAGCTCCCTCCTCCACAAAACCCTGTCTATCCATGAGTCCTGTCAGTGTTTCCTCTAAAATATACCTCAGTTCAACTCAGATTTTTCCATCCTTACTCTTACCAAACCACACCAGTATCAGCCAGTGCTGTCTGATGTGTGGCTACAGTACCCTCCTTTCTGGTCCCTTTCCCCACTCTCCTGCACAATACGTGCCCACATTTCAGTCAGAGTGGGCCTTTCAACATGGAATCCATATGTTGTTCTTCCCTGCTGAAAACACTCTCAGCTTCCCATGGAAGTAAAATAAAATCCAAGTTATTCACCTTGGCCACATCACCTGGGTCCTGCTCCACTCTGTGGCACTTACCATGTCACTCTTCCATAATTCACTCTGCTTTAGCTAACTAACCCTGCTTAAATCTGCTCCTGCTTAAACCTTGTTCTTCCATTCTTTTTACCTGCTGCTCCTTCCTTCTTCGGTGCTCTAGCCCCAGAGCTCACAAGGCAAGCTACAAATCATTACTCAGCCTCGATCGAATGCCATCTCCGTAGAGGCACTCTGTCCCACTAACTCCCAAGTGACCACCAGAATTGTATTCCTATTATCTTCATAGCACTATCTAAAGGTGTTTGAGTGTGGATGTTTGGTTTCCCCATAATAGAATGTAAATTCTATGCAATTAGGGAGTTTGAATGCTCCGTTACTGTATTCCAGTGTGTAGAGCACACTGCATACAGAAAGCTAGTTGCACATGTCAAGTTTAAGTAGGACATCAGAGGACAGATAGCCAGTAGCCAGCTGATTACGAAATCTAACCTGGGAATGTAACTTTAAGAGTTAAAGGAAAGCTCTGAATGTCCTGATGCAAAATGGATCTTACAGTGGCTCAAACACAAAAAATGATTATTTCTTTTACAAATTCCAGCGTTGGATTGGAGATCCACATCGGCAGGTATCAACATCCAATGAGTAATTCAGAGCCTCAGACCTCTTTCACCTTACAGTTTCCCTGTGTCACCATGCTTATCCATAGGGGAGGTCATGGAGGACCCACATGGAGATTCCTATTAGCCAGGATCTAAAATAGCATGCATTCCATTGGCTACAACTCAGCCATGTGAGCACCTCTAACCACAAGGTAGGCAGGGAAATATATTCTAGCTGTGTCCTAAGGAAGAAAGACCTGGTTTGGGGCCACAGCATGCTAGCTTCCACCACAGACATGCCTACAGGCTTTTTAGGGGAGGCATCTTTAATTAAGCACTGGCACTTCTGAGATATATTTGTAGACACCAAGAACCGACCAAGCCCATGACGGGCATCTTTTGTCAGTAACAGAACAGATGCCACATACTGTCTAGGCCTGGGAGAACCTGCCTACAGCTTTTTCCTGGCAGTGCAGCTGCTAATAGAATGAGTGTGGGTAGTGGTTCCCTTTCCCACTCAAATCTATTCCAAGAGCCAGAAATCTGCCAGGCTCAGCTGGCTGTCACTCTGAGCTTCTGCTTCCCCAGCCTAGGTGGCATGTTTTCCGAATTTTGCCTCCAGGCCCTCAAGGGGGAGGGAAGTTTCTTAGGCTTTTTGGGAGACAGATGCCTTGGGGAGAATGCAAAAGTGGAAATATTAATAGTGCAGTTTAGGTTATATTCCGCAGATGTGTGACAGCCTGCCAGATGCTGGCATACAAATGAGACCGTACCATTCACCCTGAAAGCAACCATATGTAAAATAATCATTGTCATCACGAGGGTGATGATAACTGATATCTATATAGTTCCTTTCAACCAGACTGCCCTAAGCACTAAGCCTGTACAAACTGGAACCCTTTTGCCTCTCATCACTGAAGTATAGCCACCTCTGGGATTTTTCAAAACAGCCATGGAAAAATACCAATCACCAGACATGTCTTAAATCATATGTTGTTAGCACTTGAATAGGTTGTTTAGAACCTATTTCAATTATGCTTCTTATGCTCCAAAGAGGCAGAAGGAGCATGAGTTGGAACAGAGTAATATGAGTTCCCCAAAGTATGATTTGGGTACCACTGGGGTGGAAGATAAGGTGCTATAAGGAAAATGTGGACTTTTTTCCATAATTGTGTATCTAAGATAACAAATGATAGAACATTACTATCATATCAGTCCTGTCACAGGAAAGGGCAAAAATTCAACCATGCAGACTTCCATAAAAAATGCATTTAAATTACAAATTATATGTAAAGTATGAAGTCAATAGCAATACATGTGGTCTGGGGGTAGAAAGAAACCATGCCTCTCAGGGGCTGGCATTTAGTGCAACATTGGCATCATGGCTGAAGCTCAGGCTTTAGAGTCCAGTAAGCATAGAGTTCTCACCCAGTTCTACCAATTTCTGGCTGCATAAGTTTTCACAGGTTCCTTAATTTATCCCAGACTCTAGTTCATCATCTGTAGAGAGGAGCTGTATCAGAAAGGACTGTAATAATTACACACACACACACACAGTGCTTAGGCAATACCTGCTAAGTAAACCATCAAAAAACAGGGACCAGTCCAACCATGGCTACTGTTGAATGACAAGGTAACTAAAGAAGGCCACTGTCAGAATGGTGGTTCTATTCTGTTGAATTCACTATCTGATCATCTACTCAATTCTAGACTTCTCCTTTGGCTCTGCAGGTGGGTAAGCTGTAAGATGTTTTCATGCCCTTGTTACCACAGATTTTCAGGATCTCTAAGGTCCAGGGCCTTGTGGATCAGAGCACCGGATCAGAGCAAGATATGCCTAAAGTTTATGGCACCTGGCCATAAGACCTTTCCTTCCATCCCTGTCCTTTTGAACTCTGGTCTTCATGCATCAGGATCATGATAAACCATATCTGGATTAGTACTTTTCTTTGGCAAGAGGCTGCCCTTGCTCTTCAATAAATGAAAGCTGCTCTTAAAATATTACTTCTTTATGAAAACTATGATACCCAGCATCCTTTGGCCATTTTTCTTGGGACTAAGAACGAGTTGATCTGGGTTCTTACCTAGTCTAACATGGGATCTATTAAATAGATCCATAATAGGAAAATATGCAGGCACACTATGGGCTGAGCACCCTTAGGGAGCCAGGCACTGTACTAAGCCTGAGAATCCAGAAGTGAAAAGAAACAAATTTTCTGCTTTCAGAATGACACTCATCAAATAACCACACAACTGAATATAATTATAAGCAGATACATTCTGTGAGGGAAGGGAATATAGTTCTGTGAATGAATTTATTTTTAAGCCATCTTTTAGACTAGGGAATAAAAGAGGTTTTGCTGATGAACTGATTATTGAGAAACAAAAGGGGAAAAGTATGAGCTAACTTGGCGGAAGAGATGTTAAGAGATTTGCCTAGTATGTACAAAGCTCCTGTGCCAGGAGGGAGCAAGACTTCTTTTTTTAATAAAATTTTATTAGGATATATTCATGATATGGGGGGGTTCATAGTGACAATTCCACTTAGACTTACATTGTACATTATTTACATTGCCCCCGTCATCTCTCCTCCACAGCCCCCTCCCCACCCTACTTAAAGCAATTGCAAGAGGCTTTCTAGTTCTGTCTCATACAGATATATGAAGTCCATCTACCATCACCTAAATCTCCTTAGTTTACCCTCCTTCCTCTTACTATTCCCCCCCACACACACACTGTGCCTATTTTACAGTCCCGGTTTTCATAATTAATAAAGAGCATGACTTCTTAGAGGAACTCTAAAAAAGCCATTGTCACTGGAACCCAGAGAGGAAGGTAGAGCATGATATATGCAAGGCTGCAAGATTAGCAGAAGTCATACCTTGTGGAAGTTCAGTCCGTGGGCAGGAGACAGGGTTTCTCTGAAAGAAACCAGCTGGACTCCATGGGCACTTGACCTTTGACCTTGGTCTTAGCACCCCTGTGTGTCAGCTTAACTGGTCAGCTGTGCTGAAGCCATCTTGGATTTGATTCCCATATCAAGGGGTCACACAGGCTTGCACTGTTGGTTTCCTGCTTCATCTTCTTGGGTGTTTCTTGGTACCATGGACAGCTGCCTGCCTTTTACTACAGGGAGATTCTGCCAGGCAGGTTTAGGGGAAAGCTGTGGAGCCTGGTACTCATTTCTGTCCCTGTTGCTTCAGTGGCTTTCATCCTGCAGGAAATCAAATGTGCAAATCCATTTCAGACTGGCATTTAATGTAATAAGAGCATCCTTTTCTTCACCCATCCCCAGTGCTGGAGATGGAACCAGGGCCTCACTCCTGTCCCCAGCCCCTT